ATATATATATGTGTGTGTGTGTGTATGAATGTATATATATATATATAGACACACACATCAAGAGAAACGGTCAAGTAATATTTTACATAGAAGGAAAGCCTAAAAACACCACCATGTCTAAACCTTTGTTGATAAATAGATAGAAATTGTAAGCTATTGAGAATATAAGTATCGAGTTAGGATAAGTTATAGTTGACACAAGATAACTACTGAGGTCGAAAACTGCCATGATGTCAAAATATTAAAAAATGTGAAGATTCAATGAAAGTATGCGAAGGTCAGCAATAATTCACATTCAAGACTAATATATATATATACATAACATGACATACAGTTAAGTAAAATGTTATATCAAAAATGGATGGAAAGCCTTAAAAAACAGCCTAACCAAATATTTGATGATATATATTTAAAAAACAGATATTGTTCTTCACAGCATTAACTGTCGACGTAATTTAGTTTCCTAAGTGTTTTAAGATATACCCGAAGGTTTCACAATTTATAAAGTGCAGTATTTGTGGGTCTAACCGCACCTTGCGTGGTAAGCAAATTTGGTTTCCGTTTCGTTATTAAGCCATACGAGGTTAAATATGCCCGTCATCTCATACACACACGTGTAACGTGACTGGAAAAGGAACCTCATCACGAAGCCCCGCCAGCGTTGTGTGGCCTCCTGGGAGTCAGCATAAGGAGGGGGGAGTGCCAAGCAACAATATATCCCTGCGGGTTTATGGTCAGCTGCAGAATGGCATGCGGTGTTTGTGAAAAATTCTGGCTTTATTTGGGAGTGTCATGGTGACGTCATTTCACTTGGTTAGCACTTGCTTTAGAAGATTATTATAACAATTACATATGCAGAAACTATAACACGCGTGTTTCATCAGCCACTCTGTATTTTTATACATATACACATTATGACTACTTAAAATATATGTCTGTTTTTTTCTTACATTACATAGATTACTGCTAAATTAAACTCTGAACACGGAGTAATAAGTGAAACTGTTCTATATATATATTGTGCATCGTAAATAAGTTCACGAAAAAATAAGTCTATAGTATTAAAAAAACGATTATTATAAGTGTATATGTGCTTACTGTAACCGTAAAGACATTTTCCTACTGGAATTCCTCGTCGTCACGTGATCATGCTAGTGCATACAATGTAAGACGTGCTTCTCATGACTAAATCTTTTTTTTTTTGCGAACGTTATAACATTCCTCGTCATTTCCTTTGGATCTTATGTAGCGGATTAGTTTTCTTCCACAGATGTTGTAAACTTATCTAAACGACAGTTTCTCTGACTTTATAAAAAGTATGGTTGGTAACTTTGTTCGTTTTTTCTTTTGTTATTCATTATGGCGGGCTTGTATCCGTGACAAGGTTAGTCTGCTCCAGCTATTGTTATATGGTAGTGTCACCTATAGGAAAGGAAAACAATTACTGCATAAACAAACTAAATATGTTGTTAGATTAATCGTGCTTCGGTATCTGTATGTTTGATCTGGTGGATCATATAACCTATTATAATAATCTGGTTTTATTATATAAAGAAGTGAAAATTGTACATTTGAAAACAGTAATAATTATTATTTTAAAACCTGGACGATTCTTTAATATAAAAAATCAAACACCTATGACCAGAGTTGAGCTTATAAAGTCATATCATTTTCAAGCCCAATTCCCATTCAGTATAAGTTTTACTGTAGTAAACATATATCGGGAAGGTTACTTGTGTGATGTGAATTTAATTACTGCAGTATCTAACACACTAGAAATGTAATAATATTTGTCTCTTCGGAGTTACCATCTCTTCAAAACTGTGTCATTGAGTCGAACCATACATAGTTGGTTAAAGGCTGAATATCGCTGAGAAATGTTCTTTATCTACACCATTAAAAGTGATAAAATTAGATAACTAAGCCTTTGATGAAGACTTGTAGCTGTATGAAACTTGTTATGTGACTAGTCACCATTAAAACAAATGTTTACTGGGACTTGTAGCCCTGATATCTCATTTGGAAGGACATCAGTCTCAGAGCATTAGTGAAAGCTGAAGATCTTGATTTCAAGCCCTGCCCCTGAGCGGAATATTATTTTGTGAAGATTAATATTTATACAGTGAGGATACCAACATCATTATATGTGATGTTTGGTTCACATTGATTCAAATATTCAGGATGCATGTTTGGTTGGGAAGAGAAATTAATTATGTTACATGTTTGTTTCTGGTAACATTATGTTTTTTGTATGAAAGGTACTACTTGAATTTATACACACATATAATATAAGAACAACAAGGGACCTGTAGGTCCATTTTTAACATCTCATCCATTAAACTAAACTTGAAAATAAAAGTAAAACACTCAAAGCCAGACTTTATCATCCAAATATTTATCAAGCTTTCTCTTAAAATCCCTTAAATTAACTGCACCCATCACATCTGAAGGCAACCCATTCCAAAGGCCAAACCACCCTTTTAGAAAAATATAACTGTTTTAGTTGAAGATGATTCCTACCCTGCTAAAATTTATGTTTATATACCCTAGTCCTACCATTCTCACTATTAAATATAAAAAAAGATGATGCATTAACACTATTAATTCCCTTCCTTATATATTAGTCTTTTATTATGAAGTTTAATAAGAATAACTGAACTTAGTTTAGTGTGTTTTGGAATGTCATTGAATTAGAAAAGAACTTCTAGGCATTAAAACCATTGTGGATTTGATCAAAATACTTTTACAGAGTATTGTTTTTTAATAGATTTGGTTATACTGACTTACATTTTAGAGGTTATAATTACAAGCTTTAAAAGTCCAGATTTTGGTTTTTTCTTGCTACTCAATCAGTGGAGTGGGTTATTAGAGTGGTTAATAATACGTACAGTTAATGTTTATTCTTTTAAGGCTATGTTATGTGAGTATGTGGTAAAAAAAAAGGTTGCATTTAAAGTCTGTTGAGAGATTGATGGATGACCCTGTTGGAGGAGCTGGTCTTCTGATGTTTTGTTTGTCCTCCAATAGCAGTGTCTTGCAAGATGAGGACTACACTATACTAGGGTACCCCTCAAATTCTTTTTGTAATGTTAAAGTTTCATTGTGAGGCCCAGATCAAACTAAACTGATATGATGTGTAGAGGTTTTTCTTTTTTTGTTGATGTATTCATTTACAGTTTTCTGTTTTGTTTGTGAAACTTCAGCATGTTCTGTTATTTGTATTTGTCATATATTTAAGTCCTGTTTGTTATCTCCCATAAATATTTTTATTTGACCTATTTTTTTTATTTCTTATACAATTATATTCGTAACTTTCTTACTAGATATATTTTTTATTTGAAACTGATACCTCCTGCTTGCTCTACATATATTATATTTTACTGTCAGATCCTTCGTTGGAAAACGTTTTAGCCATTGATTTCCGATGAGTTGCTGGAAAGGAAGATGTTACTTGCTAGAACCGACATCTAATTATTAATGAAGCATTTAACAAAAGTATTACAAGATCAATAAAAATGACTTTTTTTTATAGGCATTATAGGATATTTATTTGATGTATAACATATTATTAAATCCACCAATCAAGAAATTCTTCATAAGGGAAGTTGCTAAATATTCATATAGTCTCAGGCTAAGAATTTTAACAATCTGAAAAAAATTCTTGTCTTTATTCATTCTCAAGTATTTTTTCTACAGGATATTAGTTGGAGCTCCACGTGCCCGGCCTTTTAATGGAAGAAACAATTCAGGAGTAATCTACAGGTGTCCGCTGTCAACAACATGGAAAGATTGTGCTCAACTTCGAGCAGAGTCAGATGACTCATCACACTGTAAGTATTACCTGATGAAAAATCTTGATGATATGTGTATGCGTGATGTGAAATAAGCAAACATTTTCATCATATTACATAAGTTGATTGAAATAAAATGCATACCGTTCTCTAGACTTGTTTTAGGATGAATATAACAATTTAATATTTTGATGTTAATCCTTTTAAAATATAGACATTTTCTGTTGCACTGTATCCATTATTATCACAACTCCCTCGGTGCACAGATATGTATACGAACATTTAGCACTGACTGTAAATTATCTAATATAAAATAACACAACAAACCATGGCATTGATTCTTCAAATATGAATGGGTCCTTGACACAATTAAGTTAGCACTTAAAAGCAATGTTCTGACATGACATGCTGACAGCTCCTACTAACTACAAAAAATAAATAAATTACAAACAATAACAAACAGGTCACTTCCTACTAAGAGCTGTTTAATTTATAACTTCTTATATACATAACTAGTGTAATCTGTAACACAGCATAACTAAATACAAACACAACTAGTGTAATCTGTAACACAGCATAACTAAATACAAACACAACTAGTGTAATCTGTAACACAGTATAACTAAATACAAACACAACTAGTGTAATCTGTAACACAGCATAACTAAATACAAACACAACTAGTGTAATCTGAAACACAGCATAACTAAATACAAACACAACTAGTGTAATCTGTAACACATTATAACTCAATACAAGCACAACTAGTATAATCTGTAACACATTATAACTCAATACAAGCACAACTAGTTACAAACACAACTAGTGTAATCTGTAACACATTATAACTCAATACAAACACAACTAGTGTAATCTGTAACACATTATAACTCAATACAAGCACAACTAGTATAATCTGTAACAGCATAACTAAATACAAACACAACTAGTGTAATCTGAAACACAGTATAACTAAATACAAACACAACTAGTGTAATCTGTAACACAGCATAACTAAATACAAACACAACTAGTGTAATCTGAAACACAGCATAACTCAATACAAGCACAACTAGTGTAATCTGAAACACAGCATAACTCAATACAAGCACAACTAGTATAATCTGTAACACAGCATAACTACTTACAAACACAACTAGTATAATCTGAAACACAGCATAACTAAATACAAATACAACTAGTGTAATATGAAACACAGCATAACTAAATACAAATACAACTAGTGTAATATGAAACACAGCATAACTACATACAAACACAACTAGTGTAATATGAAACACAACATAACTACATACAAACACAACTAGTGTAATCTGTAACACAGCATAACTAAATACAAACATGTTCAGTCATAACATTATGGAAGACAACTCTCCCAATAAACATAGTTTAAAGACCCTATCACTCAGAAGAATGTCCAAAAAATAACATTTTGATAATCTTATCTCATAGAGACACCTTAAGTATTAACTTGAAAATTGTAGTTCTTTGAAAGACCTAAATAACATTTTGATAATCTTATCTCATAGAAACACCTTAAGTATTAACTTGAAAATTGTAGTTCTTAGAAATACCTAAATAACCTTTTGAAAATTTTACCATGCCCACACCAACATTGTTTTCAGTAGTCAGTAGTCTTCATTTAATGTTTTTTTTATATTGATAGCTTCCATAAAAGATGACCAGTGGCTGGGAGTCTCCTTGAAAAGTAAAGGGAAAGGAGGATTTGTAATGGTAAGTTCATTCCTCTATGGATCACTGCTTACGTATTTGTAAGAGCCATAGCAGTGGACAAAATAAATAAATAGAATAGGATACTATTGTTCTGTTATTCAATGATATCAATTGACAAACAGATAGATTAACAGTAAAGTAATGGAATCCATTCTGCAAACTTTCAGCTATAAAATACCACAGTGGTATAGCGGTATGTCTGCAGACTTACAAAGCTAAAAACCGGGTTTCGATACCCATGGTGGACAGAACACAGATAGCTCATTGTGTAGCTTTGTGCATAACTACAAACAAAATATGAATAAGATCTTATATCTAATACCCCTTGCTGAAAAACTTCTATTTCACAAGTGAAACTTGTATAGTAGCAACCAAACTGTTGATAGAGAAAGCAAAAGATGGAATTTAACAACTTTTTCTTCTTTTTCTTTTACTGTTGTGTATATAAAGTAGACATTTCTTTCCTGAAGCTACAAACCATGGTGAAAATGCTTGTAAAATAAGTTGCAGTAAGTCAGTGCCTAATCAATATTAATTTCTGTTTCAGACATGTGCTCATCGGTATATCGAGAAAGCAGGAGAAAGTCAGTGGGGGTTTGGTGTCTGTTATTCTCTGAATCAGCAGTTAGAGTACAGACAGAAGTGGTATCCCTGTGGTGGACGTCCTGTAAACAAAGGTCATGAACAGTTTGGTTACTGCCAAGCTGGCACCAGCTTAGATGTTTTAGATGTAAGATATATTTTCACTTCTTCATTAATTTTAATTTTTTTCTCACTTTTAGTGTTCTCAGAAAGGTAAAGGTACTGTCAATGAAATATATTTCAAAAAGGTAATAAAGCATATTAACACACTATGTAACAACAGAAAGAAACGAACAGAATCTTTCTGAACTAAGGCTTGAACTCAATACCCCATGCTTACACTTATATTGTTGAGTTTGATGCTCTACTAAGTTAACAAATTGAGGCTATAAACGAATACAAGACAAGTATCAACCAGTGACTGTCAAAGTGAACATGAATTAGTCCTGACATGTTAATATTACCATAGTCCAATTGTTTGAGAAAAGGTATAAAAACTGTTATGCAATTATTCAAAAATATTAAGCACTGATAGAAGTTTCAGTGTGTTTGTTAGCTTATTTATTAACTTTGTCCACTGGCTGTTAATAGGCCAGAGCTGTTTGCTATAGTCATCAATTTATGTTTCTTATAAACGGGGCCTCATTGAGATATAGTACCGCTCTAGGCAGATAATTTTGCCACCACCTCCATGTGATCGCTCCAGAAATGAAGCCTTTGTATTAGTTATGTCATTAATCATGTGATCAGTCACATGATCGCTCAGAACTCGTGATTGGTTTCTCGATCTGGTGTGGTGGGTTGCAGCGTCATCCCATCACAAAGTTAAATAAAAACATAATTCGTCAAATTTTTGTTGCTGCTTTCATTTGAGGTGCTTAAATTTGCCACCCTAGGCAGTTGCATGTGCATAACTGTGGCCTTGTTTATAAAAAAAACTATTAAATTAGAACTACATATATTTAGTGTTAAACTCTAAAACGTTTTAATAGCCCAGCAATACCTAAAACATTTATTTAAGATATTTAGTGGCACAGGAATAGGTATTTTTTAATTATTGTAATACCTCTTTCACACAATTGTTAATTTTTATTTAGTTATCATACAAATAAGAGTTCTATCAATAATTTTTGTTTACCTAGTTTCTTATATCTTTTTGGGTGGTTGGTACACAATTTATATCAATTCCATTTGACCTCTATGTGATGTAGTTACAGAAATAAGAATTTCTTCTTGAACTTTATAACCTGTTTTGATGACTGTCATACAAGAGTTTTTGTTGTCCTTGTTGCCTCTGTGTATGCGTGATTGTCTAATAAGGAACCTTTTTTTTTTTTTATGAAGTCATCCTAGAGTATTAATCAGATTACCACAAATAAGATTATTTTTAACTCTGGTAGCTGCTTTGTACATGTTCAGCTGTTATGTATGTGTACAGTGGTTTTTCATGTGTACAACTGTTTTTTTGTATGTTTTGTTTATGTGCATATATTGCATGAATAAAACCTTGTAATTATAGTTTCCTATATCTTTTTGTCACACACAGATTTTTATAATTTGTCTTTAGTGTTGTTTTCAATAAAAGTTAAATTTTTGTAATGATGTGATTGAAACACAGCACAATTGTTTTCTCCACATTAGTACTTTGTTATTTAAAACTACAGACATTTAACCTTATAAAGGATTAAATTAGAATGAAATATAGTATATGAAATTACCCATAAACAGTAATTTGATAGGTTGTTGCCAGAAATCAGTAAGAAAAATGAGACCACTAAAAAGTGGGACAGGAAAACTGTAATCTACATTTAAAATGGATCATCCATATATTAACAAAATATTAAAAAAAAAAGATAAGGTCTTGATTTTATTTTATTGACTTATAATTTCCATATGAAAGGATAACAACATGGTTCTTGGATCTCCGGGACCGTATACCTGGCGAGGAACTGTGTTTGTTAACAACCTAGGAGAAGGAATTCGTGATGATAAGACATGGTACCTTGGACCATTGGATGAATCTCCAGTGGATAAATACAGTTATCTAGGTAATTAAAAAAAATTTAGTATTTACTATCAGTTTTATTACAATTGAAGTTTTATAGTCAAAACTAATTATTGTAGTTAGTTTCAAATGTTTTTATAAGTAAGTTTCTGAATTTTTTGCAGTTTTTTTTTTTATAATTAATGCTCTTTGTATGAAAGCATAACAGTTCTTCACAAACAGATTCAGCTGGTTAATTGCAGTTTGATGAATAGTTTATCAAAACATATTTTTCTAGAGAGTGTTTATTTTATTTTTTTTTAGTTTTAAAGGGTGTACAATTACTTCGGTTATAATTTATTATCTTTTTTTTAAAAAACAGATTTTACATAGCAGTTACATTTTTTACATAAAAATCAACTATATATCCATCTAGTAACAGTTGTTTATAATATATACTCTGTGGTAACATCAATAGTAAATAAATGAAAATTTCAATTTATTTTAATGTTCAAAATATGAAGTGTGGAATGTATTAAAGATGCAGTAATGTTATTCGTAATAGTTTTTTGTGGAAGTTTCTAAAAAAATATACATGTTTTTTTGTGTGGTTATCAATAATAACTTCTGAGCAAAGCAAAATATGTATGTAAATCAGAACTAAATATAATCCAATAATGAATACAGCTAACTTAATATACTGTTCTTTTTAGGAATACACAAAGTCTTAAAACAAAAACCTGTGATGGTTAAAATTTATTGATTCATCAGCTGGGTAACCTTTATTTTAATTATAATTTTGGCTGTAATCCCTATAATATCCAAAGACTAAGCATAATAAGACTAAAGAATCATAATAGATAACAAGAAATATGTAACTATATGTATATATATATAAACTATGCATTATGACCAATCCTCTTTTCTCTTGAAAATTAAATGTGATACCATTGTATACAAAACTTTGTATAATCTTCCATAACAATGTCTAGTGACCAATGAAAACAAATAAATGACTTCAAATGTGTAAGTTTAGAGTAACTTAACATCCGAGATAAATTACTAGAACACATACTGATATCTGATATAGTTTAAAGTAATAGCATGACTCGGAATTTTTAATTGAACCATTGTGTATGTTTTAGTCAATACTATTAGTTCTATCATACTCTAATGATGTGAATGGGGTTTATTAGAATATCATTTAAATTATGTACGTGTAAACATACGTTAAGTTTGAGGTTTTTTTCAAGTCAGAATAAGTTTTATACATTTTAAGAAGCAAAGTCAGACTTAAATAAAATAAATTATCTCAGGTATGGCTGTAACCTCGGGAAAATTCTTTGGAGAGCATAAAAGTTTCGTGGCAGGAGCACCTCGTTCTAATGGCACGGGACAAGTAGTTTTTTTCCGTAAGGAGCAGAGAGGTATCACTGTTCTCTCTGTAGAGCTCCTGTATTCTGGAAGACAGTTTGCTTCATCATTTGGATATTCTCTCACTGCTCTGGACATAAATCATGATGGGTATGTGGTAGAAAAACTGATTTATGAATACGATTATCTGTTGCTGGTTTAGGTCAAAAATTTTCAAAGATAAGGAACTTAAGATCCTGATAAATAACTAGCATTTTACTGATAAATTACCTGTATACATGTAAATTTTTAAAGCTGTGTGTTCTTACATCCCTGTTAAGCATGTGTTTCATTTAATTTTCAGGCCCCTTACTGTATTTACTTAGTCATTCTTGTAAAGCAACAGAAAATCGAAATGTAAATACAGCAGTTTTTACTCAAACTTCTCTAATACAAATTTATATTGAAAACTTTAGTGGAACAATGTTTTGATAACTATGAATATTTTGAAGATTTACATTATTGAATTAATTAAATTAATTATATACATTTTTAAATATGTTCAAAATTTGAAAACCATAATTGATTTTTCACAAAACAACTTCATTTCTGTGAAACACAATTATATTTCTAAGTTAACTGAAAAAGAAGTATTACAGGATTTGTTTCAGATAGTGATGATTTAATTCTTGCATACAAATATACACATTAAAATGCATCTTTTTGTTTTTGTGATCTTGTTTAGTTCACATGATATACAGTGTTATGAATGATTGATTTTTTCATTTTAAATTCATACAGATATGACGATCTGGTTGTTGGTGCTCCATTTTATTTCAGTGACTATGAAGGAGGAGCAATTTATGTTTATTTGAGTTCTGACAAAGTAAGGATTTCTTTCTTTCAAAAGCATTTAAAAAAATAGATATACCAAAAACTGTTAAAGCATTAGAAACCAATAGGCTTAAAAAATGTTATCACAAATTTTTAGGCCTGAAAGTAGTTGCAAGGTTTAAATCCTATACTTTTCTCTTCTATAGAAGGTAATTTCTAACATAATTATTAATTCAGTTTTAATACAATATGATAAAAACCCTATAACCCGAGCGCTTTCGAAAGGTGGACCTTTCTTCTTCAGGATTCCCAGTTTGCATCTGAAGAAGAAGAAAGGTCCATCTTTCAAAAGCACTCGGGTTATAGGGTTTTTATCATTTTGTATCAAGACTTATTGAACCTACATGTTTCTCTGACATCATGAATATTAATTTTTATTTTCTCATTAAAATTGAAAAACTAGAATTAGTGTTAACTGCTAAATTTAAGACATGGCTTGAACCACAACTGTATTTAACTTAACAAAAAAAACTTCCTACAGCAGAAATTCATTAACTGATGTTTTCTTTGTTGAAATTGTTTTTTCTCCCAGATCTAGTTAGTAATCAGTGTTCCAAATCTCATTAACCTTTTGAACTTATTTCTGTTCACTTTCATAAGATTTTCTATGTCTTATTAGTTGTAACAAAAATGGGTTAATTAGAAATTAATCTATGGTGTGTGTGACATGCATATTTTCTGCACCAATACACAACTCCAGTTTGTAGATGGAAAAAAGAACGTAGTGTATGGGAAATAATTTTTAAAGTTTCGTATAAAAGTAAGATTTGAATTAAACTTTACATTTATGACATTTATCCAAAAACAAATAATTTTCATCAGGTTGTAATATCAGTATGTAATAGAATAAAACTGTAGGAAAAATTAACTTTTGTGCATCTAAAAATATCTTCAATACATGAGGTTATGAAATTTAACAATATGTACTTTATTTGTAAAATTTGGTTACTTTAGTTTCTATATATTATTCATACCACATGAAGACTAGATGTGTATGTGTGTGTGTGATCTGATTATGAAAATGTTAAGAAGATCTTTAATTGTTATCAAGTTGTTAGAGTAATTTTAAATCTCAAATGTTTTTTCGGGATAATCCTTTGTGATTGTTTTTTATCGTTTTACATTTATTAAATCAGTGAGTTAAATGTTTTAGTAAGTTTAGTTTCTTTTCACTAAAAATATTTTATCAGTTAAAGAACCAAATAAGTAACCAAAACAGAATATATTATATCTTGGTTTATCCCTCTTTCCGAGCATTGGTTCTGTTAATAATATTAATGTTCATCAACAGTATTGGGTTAGACACAAAGCATGCAGAATAGATTGTCGATTAATTACTTTTCCAAGCATTGTTTCTATTAACAAATCTTGTCTTTTTTGCTACTTTTTTATTATATAGTATTGTGTTACATGCAGTGCAAACAGAATAGATTGTCGATTAGTTTAACTACATTTTTCCAAACATTGTTTTTGTTAACAAATATGTCTATTTACAATGTTATGTTTTAGGGCATTGGAACTAAGACAGTGCCAACAAACTTCACAGGGAAACCAGAGTCCAGATTTGGTTTCGCAGTTGCCAGTGCTGGGGATTTGAACAAAGATGGTTTCACTGGTGAGTCAGTATGAGTTTGTTTAGAGATTAAAAAGAAGACTGTACACGTTTGAATAAGTTTTGTTACAAAGCTAAGAACTGAAAATAATTTGTTAACTGTTTATTAAGAAAGATATTTGATCCTTATGTAAATATAAAATGGCCAAAAGTACAAAAAATTATTACTGGTTTGAACATATATTTATTATTAAATGTTTACCATAGATCTAGCTGTGGGTGCTCCCTATGAAAATAATGGAGTGGTTTATATCTATTTGGGATCAACAGGTGGACTGATTACAGAGCCTTCCCAGGTAAGTTATTTCAGAACTTATGAGTTGCTAGTTATGTTGTTAAAAGTGTAGTGTAATTAAAGTGACAATAACGTACCAGATGAAAAACCAATATAACCTACAAATAAATCTCAGTAAAACAGTTAAGCTAAAATATCTAATTTTGTCCATTAATTTGACTAAGAAATCATAGACAAAGCAAACAGGCAAACACAACCACATAATATAAATTTGATTTTAGTTAACAAATGTGAATTGCATGTGTTTTTCTTTTTTGTCTTGCAATAGATTTAAAATTTTAAGCTGATGAGATTTCTAGCGACAAAAAAAACTTTTAACATATATTTATTCATCATAGAGAAAAGTAGAAATCAGCTTTAAAAACAACTTGTAATAAAAGTCTTATTAAGAATAAATATTTAAAAGGTTCTTTTGTATTTTAACAAATTTAATAGTAATTTACTAATACTTTTAGTTTGGTCATAAAATGATAAGATACATGTTTTTCTTTTTTTGCAGGTTATTCAAGCATCCGATTTTCCTAAGCAAGCGTTATCACGCACCAGCTTTGCAACTTTTGGCTATTCCATCTCAGGTGGTTTAGATCTTGATCAAAATGGCTACCCTGATCTCTTGATTGGGAGCTATGACAGTGATACTGTGAGTCTGTTATTGTAAGTATGAATGATGAAGCCGTATTTTAATTTCATAATCTTATGTTTAATATTTTGACCAATCATGTAGGAGCTTGTGTAGGTATATAATAAAGATCTGTTTAGACTAGCTCAGTATCTACAGTATATGTGTACAGATAAAAAATAAAGATCTGTTTATAAAACAAAGTTCTGTTTAGTTTGGTATCTATATGATAAGTGTATAGATAAAAAATAAAGATCTGTTTATAAAACAAAGTTCTGTTTAGTTTGATATCTATATGATAAGTGTATAGATAAAAAATAAAGATCTGTTTATAAAACAAAGTTCTGTTTAGTTTGATATCTATAGGATAAGTGTATAGATAAAAAATAAAGATCTGTTTATAAAACAAAGTTCTGTTTAGTTTGATATCTGTAGTATGAGTGTACAGATAAAATAAATAACTGTTTTAGATTAATTTTAATTTTACACCATTCGTAAGCAGGTAACTTAGTTCACACTGTTACATCACCTACTACAACACATTGCTTTGCTGTTTTTATCAAACCACAGTAAATAAGCTAGGCTACAGTTATTATCCAATCACATAAATGCCTTAAAGTGAGAGGGGTATCTTTTATATTTGCCATATCTTGTAGTCAAATATTATCTTGTGATTTCCATGACTTAATCGATTTCATCCTAACAAAGACTGGCTGATTTATGCTATAAACATCAGTAACGAGTCATTAAAGTTATGATCAATTAATCACAATGTTATTACAAAACTTTTTAACAGGGGACGACCAATCATAGATGTTATTACAACAGTAGAAGGAAATCTGAAGAACATTGATGCTACTAAACCAGGTTGCGCTGCAGATCCTTCATCAACCTTAGTTTGGTTAGTATTGTTTTTATGTTTATTTGAACTTGGACAGTACTGTGTAAAGACTAAATATTTTACTCTCGATCCAGTCAGCAATGGATCGAGAGTAATTATTATTATTACATTATTATTGTAGCTTTGTGTGTTTAATGTTGTTAACTGAATTTTGAAGTTTCAGTCCCACACTGATATATCTTAAAAAAATAACGATTACATACTCGAGATGGTAAAAATTATTGATACTTTCTCCTAATTCTTTTGTCTTTGTTAACAGTTTATTTACTAATAGCGAACAAAATGTTTCTCATAGCGTGTCATGATAAACTAATATTTTTCATCTGTGAACTTTAACTTAACTCATTAGTAATTCAAAGAAACTTCACTGAAAACAAAATATTACTTGCTTTTTATTTTTTGTTTTTTCAGTTTTTCCTTTAAAGCTTGTTTCAAGTTCAATTCTTCAGTTCTTTCTCACGGAACAAGGATCAAAATAAAGTATCGAATTGAAGCTGAGCCAAGAAGGAAGTTTTATCGTGTTTACTTCCAGGCAGCTAAAGATTCTGAAACGCCCAACATCGTAGAAAAAGACGTTATATTTCAAGGGGAATCTCTAGGATCCTTGGAATGTTCTACAGAAGTCGTCTATCTTAGGGTAGGCTACAGTAACTTTAGAATATTTGTTGAAAATGGTTTAGGTTTAGTAACCTTCAGAGCTATTACAGATTATATATTTGCAAAGCAGTTCTAGAGGTTTCTCTGTTTTTGTTTTTCAACATGGTTGAATAAATATTCATGTTAAAGGTGCAGTCTGTATATGTTCATAATGTTTCTCTTTGGCTTAAATGTCAGCAAGTTTGGCTTTATCTGATTCCAAAATAATAATCTCCAATGGCAGTTTTGATTACAATGGTTTTAATTTCTGTAAAAAAAAACTTGAAATGTACTACTGAAGTTGAAATGATTAAATATTGCTTTTTATTTGTGGGCCCAGCATGGCCAGGTGGTTAGGGAGCTCGACTCGCAATCTGCGGGTCGCGGGTTTGAATCCCCGTCACACCGAACATGCTCGCCCTTTCAGCCATGGGGGTGTTATAATGTGACGGTCAATCCCACTATTCATTGGTAAAAGAGTAGCCCAAGAGTTGGCAGTGGGTGGTGATGACTAGCTGTCTTCCCTCTAGTCTTACACTTCTAAATTAGGGACGGCTAGCGCAGATAGCCTTTGTGTAGCTTTGCGTGAAATTCAAAACAAACAAATCTTTTTATTTGCGTATTAAAACGTTAACTTACAGCTTTAAAGTTCTGTATGTTTATTGTCTGCAGGAATATGTGATTTCATACATGCTTCTTCAAATTTCAAACCAAAACATTACAAGAAACCTAGATTCAGAATTACTTTTCTTTTTTACAGATGTTACTTAATGCTTTTGTTATCTACTTGAGCTGAATAAATTCTAAGTTTTTCATTCTAAGAATAACCTGAAAAGTTTTTTATTTTTAGGACAAAAGTGACATTCAAAATCCCATCAACTTTAAATTGACTTACACACTAATTCAAAATGAACCTAAGATGCCCGAGGAAGGTGAAAGACTACCAAATGTCAATCTTTACCCGATTTTAAATCAGCAAGAAGCATCCAAAAACTTCCAGGTAAAATTTCCTTGTGATGAATTTTGATCTATCATTTGTGTATTTTTGTTATTTTTCTCTGTCAGGCTTTTAAATAATAGATGTTTAAATATATTAAGTGTCAATGCTTGTGTGGCCTGGCATAACATAGCAGTGATAGCACTTGACTTGCAATATGGAAGTCATGGGATTGAATCCTGTCCCAAATCATACTTTCCCTTTCAGATGTGGAAGCATTATGATGTGATGGTGAATCCCATTATACATGGCCAGCTAGATAGGGCACTTGACTCGTAATCTGAGGGTCGCGGGTTCGAATCCCTGTCACACCAATCATGCTCGCCCTTTCAGCCATGGGGGCATTATAATGTGACGGTCAATCCCACTATTCGTTGGTAAAAGAGTAGCCCAAGAGTTGGCGGTGGGTGGTGATGACTAGTTGCCTTCTCTCTAGTCTTACACTGCTAAATTAGGGATGGCTAGCACTGATAGCCCTCATGTAGCTTTGCACAATATTCAAAACAAACAAACCTATTATTCATTGGTAAAAAAGTTGCCCAAGAATTGGTGGGGGGGTAGTGTTGATTAGCCAAAATCAGGGATACCTAGCAAAAATAACCCTCTAGTAGCTTAGTGCAAACTCAGCAAAACAAACAAGCAAGCAATGAATGCATGTTTGTGTACATTTTCAATATGCAAATGAGCAAGTAGGTTTCATTTACTGTTTTTTAAGGTCAAAATATCTTAATACTCTAATGTTTTGGTTATTACTTAAGTTAGTATTAAATTAAAATACTTATATTTTGTATTTATATATTTACAAGAACTACACCTAAGAATCTGAAATTTTTTTTTTTTGCCCTTTTGTGTCTATTGTGACCTTTCAAAAAGTATATTACTGAAAATGTTAATTTATGCAGAATACTGCTGTAAAGGTTATTATGACCCATAAAGATACGAGATACTACCAACTACATATTTGTTGTATTCCTCTTTTGATCATGTAAACATGTGCCTATGAAAAACTAATGTTTGTACTTCATCTGTTAGGCTACATTCATGAAAAACTGTGGTACCGATGATATCTGTCAAAGCGATCTTGAGTTTGACGTAGAATTCAATTTACCTAAGTAAGTACTCTGAATTTTTAATTAGGGATATTGGAATGAAAAATGTAAGCTAACTATTATTACTGTGTTTAATAGATTTTTGTAAACATAATTAATGTGTAATGAAACTTTAATGCCCATTCAGTCTGTTTTTTCTGAGTGTAAATCCTGTTTTATTTTTATGAATATTTTAAAACAATTATATTCTAAACGTTATTATATGATGCAAAACAAAAATTAAATATAAACACTTAATTATCTTACAGTTTGGTCTTTAAGTTTTAAGAATTTTTATAGTAAAAAAGTAGGCTTAGTGTTTAGAATGTTGGACTGTGGATTGAAGGTCCAAAGTTTTAGTCTGATATGCAGTTTGAATAAAATTTTGATTTTAATCAAGAAAAAACTGATTTTCTGTAATGTACAAATATCTTGTGCTTTCTCTTGTCTGTTTTTGTGTGTGGCACTCTCACTTCAAAAGAAATTAACTCAAAAGCTAAAAATGTGTGCCATGTTGAAAATAAATTATCTGTATTATGTGTAGAACAGTTCTTCAAAGTGCATGCTTTAAATGAAATTATATATTCCATAAAATACATACAACTTCAAATACTTGTTCATAAACAAACTTGGTGATTTATTTTTAATTTTGTTATAAATTATGGATAACTTCTAAAAACTAAAAATTTTCATTAGTTTCGGAAGTGCTACATAGTACCATATGAAAGAACATTTGAATGTGTAGGCAGATGATGCATAGATTACCTGAAAAACTAAAGTTTATGGAAGACCTGAACTTAATGATTTTGTGGGGATCAGCAGGGTATGCCCCAAAGAAAATGTGGTGTTTGAAATGGCACAATTCCCAAAATATTCATGTTAAGCACAGACGTGTAGTGTATGATACCCTTAGAATTACTAAAATATATTTATCTGCACCCAACAGGCATGCACTTGAGGGGGCTGATGCCTTCCCTCCCTCCTAGTTCCTCTGCCTATGGAATTTTGTGAAAACATTAATACACAGGAGCCAATATTCCTTGATTAAAACAGTCAGAAAGAACATTCAGCGTGAACCGTTTGAGTTTAGCCTACAAACTAAGTAGACTGAAGTAGGATATACAGAAACATGTTTTGTAACATTGTATGAAATATTTTAACAGAACCATCTACTTCTATGCATGTACATAAAATAAAAAGAGTTGTTGAGGTGCAATAAAATATTTTATTTTGGATGTATTACATTCTTTTTTGATTCTGCTAATGTGATACTTAAATAGACAAAATGTCAAAGTAAGTGGACAACATAATGAGAGGTAGGTTAAACAGTCTATTCTTTATCTGCATGTAAAAACTCAAACACGAAGAAGGTACATCGTGACAGACCATGCTGTCTTTTTTTTTTAAATTCTTATACGAATACAACAGATAACAAACCAAAATAACAGCAGGTAATGGTCCAAGGCAGTGAAAATTACAAATCAGTGGTAAACTCTGTCCACCTGTACTTACTATAACTGTCCGTCCTATATAACTGACAGTTGCAGGGTGAGAAATATATGCCTTGGCTTCAAAAGCAGGTTCTTGATTGTTTTCTACCTTCAGTGTCATATTTAAGTGTTCTTCACCTAGGAATAACACCAGACCTCCATTTTCTCTGAAAGGAAAGATCAGAAAATGTGTTTTTAAAATTATAAGCATTGAGTTAGTCAAAAAGATATCTAATTTTTGACATTATAAAAACAAATTTTTTTCCTGTAAGGAAATAGTAAAAAAAATATATCAATCCATTCAAAAGACAAGTGGTTTTTTTTTTCTGGTTAAAAAAAAGATGTTATTTAAGAAAACTTAGTTTGCAAATAAAACAACAAAATCATCTCCATCTCCTCTTGACAGCTGTTTGCAGAGAAAAGGAAACAAAACCTCGTCCTTCTTTCTGTTGTTATTTAATCCCTAATAACCTCATTAGATGCTAATTGCAAACCCTGCTTTGTAGAAGTAAAAATTTCACTCCTCTAAATGATTAAGTACTTGTATCTTCAAATTCAAAGCCAAAATCTATAAGAATAAATGGAAATGTGCCCAATTTCAGGATCTTTTTTTTTACAACCCTTCTCAGGCAAAAATTCTAGAACAAAGTAGCCAATGTACACCAGACAGTTTCCAGTTACAATACAAAAAATTATGGTAATCAAGCCAGCCAACTCTGGGTGACAGATGCTAACACATATACACACACACATAATGGATCATCTTTAATGTAAGATTATAAGTTGTATAAGTAACTTTCACTGGAGTAAGCGTAATGTTATCTAACATTGTCTATTATACCATTTTTGCTCCCTTAATGGGTACACTTAGCTAGTGTCATTTAAAAAACATATTGTATGTTTATAATTATTGTGAATTTCTGTGTACTAAAGCCTAAAAACAATGTGTAAAACTACATACTCAGTTCTTGGTACAACATTCACAATTTAATGTATCAATAGTAGCCAGCATACTATTTTAAATAAAGCAACCATAATTGAACTTATTGTTAGACAGTAATTGACCATTGAGTTAAACCCTTGTGCACATGGACAGGTGATTTGTGGAAACAATTTCGTTTTTTTAAATTCTATAACTTCGAAATGACTTAAGATCACCTGTAAAATGAAGGAATTCTGTCCAGTCATCACTGATCACAGAAAACGTGGCTAAACTATGGAACTTTAAAAGCAGTCTTTAAAATATCATTTTTGAAAATCAAAAGAAGCAGCTGTGGTGAAAATTATTACTTGGATTCAATTGAAATTTGAGCTTTAAATGTAATTTTTTAATTAGTATTTATAACAAATATTTTATAAAGGAGAAATACTACAAAACGTTTACCTGTTTGTGCATTTATCCTAAGATGCTTCAAAGTATGAGGTCAATATTATTAAGCACCAGACTGTATCTTAGAAGCATAGTTTTAAAGTTTTGTTTTTATGATAGAATTAAAGTAACTATATTTTCTATAATGTGTTTATTTTTTATTCTTAATATACACCATTTGATCTGGCTATTAACAAAAGTTTTTTTTAAAACTGATAGTATACAAATTATTCCACCTCCTCCCAATGATAGAAAAAAAAAGATAATTTACTTTAAAAAGTATAAACTTTAGAAGTTTGTTCCTTAATGTCAAGGAACCCACAGGTTGATATACATAATGTTGTGTAACAAACATTACTAAGTTGTGATGCTGATTATGGCAGTGTAGTCACTTGGTGGAAAAGTGTTTGTTATTTCAGTTCATGACAACTTGATATCTAGGTGTTGTAACAAGCATCATTTAGTTCGTAAACATTATTTTATTGTTTGCATTTTGTTGAAGTAAATTTAATACAACAACTGTCAAATCTTTACTTCTATTTTTTTGCTTATATCCATGATTTATTTTTTTATTTTAGAAAGGTGGAGATGTGATTTGCACACCAGAGAATAAGTTATTGGTTTGTGAATTGGGTCACCCCTTTACTGAAAAAGTAAGTAGAAGTTTATCGTATTTCTCATTTTTTAAATTGATAAATACTATTCCTGACAGATTTTTTAAATACTTTAAAGTTTATTTAATGAAAGTATGTATAAACAAATCCTGGCTATAGTTATAACTATATATGTACTCTTAAGTGTTTACGTGTATGATTATTTACTGATTTCGTTTTACGTATGACTATAGTTGTATTTTGACTTCCACATGGCTGTTGAGAGATGTACAATTTATATGTTATCAAATACATTTTAATGTACACTCTTAAATACTTTTTTCTTTAAACATTTTTATTATGAAGTGTTTCAGAATGCATGAATAAAGACATTGAGCTATGCATAATTTAAATGTGGAATATGTTTAGGATATTGAATAGTTTCATATGTACTACTTCTACCTTATTTTTAGTTTGGAGATGACCTTTCAGACTCTGTGCTGAGTCCTTTATCAGGAGCAGTCCCTATGAAACTATTCAAGTTTTAGATTATTTAGGACACATAAATGATATATATGATATAAAACTCAAGTTTTAGATTATTTAGGACATGTACCTGATATATATAACATAAAACTCAAGTTTTAGATTATTTAGGACACATAAATGATATATATAACATAAAACTCAAGTTTTAGATTATTTA